TGGGAGTCAGATGCTGAAGAGGTCGTCCCCATCACTTGACCCCCATGGCCCTGCTTCCCAACCTCCCAACACCCATGGCGTCAAACTTGTATCAGGGCCATTGATCTCTGACCCTCAGGCCAGGTGGGTGAAGTCTTCCCACAGTGGGGCAGAGGCCAAGACTGCTCCCTCTCTGTGTGGGCTGAGGCAGTTGCCCCGGGTCTGTTCTGACCTGGCTCAGGTAGATAACTGGCCTGACCACACCCTCAGGTAAGGCTGGAGTGGGGGGTTTACCTTCAAAGTGGTGACAGATGGTGACCACTCCCAAAGGAGGCAGACCCACCCACCCTCTTAAGGAACAGCCCTCTCACCACATGCCGTCAGAGGAAAGTGGGAGCCAAGCAGAGGCCCTTTTCCCCTCTGCTTGAAAATCCCAACCCCAGAAAATCTACTCAGTCTCCCTCCCTCCAGCCCTCTGAAGGTCATATACCATGCTCACTTATGCTGTGGCTACTTCCTTAGGATGCTGATCCTTCGACTTCTGGGGTGTTGGGCTTACCTGGGTCTCTACCCTTGAAACTGCCCCTCCCCTTCCCCAGGCTCCTCACCACTCCTGTGGGTTCCTGCCCTGGACTCCCCTCAAACACCTCAGCTACCTCTCTCCTGAGCTCCAGCCCCTCTGTCCAACTGCCCTCCACAGGCCCCCGTTGCAGATTCCAGGCATGAGTTCCTGGATCTTCCCTGTGCCCAGCATGGGAAGGGGCGGGGCCCAGGGAAGCTCATACGAAGTCCAAGGTCACCACCAAAGGGACAGGGAGTGGCACAGACAGCCACCGACTGGCTGCACCTCACATACATGCACGCACACATTCCCTGCCCCAAATACCCTGCTCTCAAGCTCACTCAGTCACTGGCCTTCCCTCCCTGAATCTCTTCTTTGCTTAGGAAACTTGAGCTGCTCGCTCAAGCTTATGTTGGCTCTTTCTGGCGTTCCTGTCCAGGCGTTGCCTGTCTGCACAGCAGCACAGCCTGTCAGAGCTGGTTGCCAGTGCCCAGGTTGAGAGCTGTCCAAGACCGTTCCCCTTTACCCACAGCTGCCCCTGCCCAGCCTTGACCTGCAATGCCATCCTCCCCTTTGCAAGGCATTCTACATTCACCGTGGTCACACAGTGCCCTTGAACCTAGTCTCTTCCTGGGGACATGCATTAGAAGGTTCACAGGACAGACTCAGTCCCTCCAGGCACCCATAGCCTCCTCCCTGTTCTCCAGGCCAGATGCCCTCAGCCTGCAGCACATCTGCTGACTTGGGGCTCACTGGGGTGTGACCAGACCCTCATTCCTGAGGATCCCCTCTTGGGCCAGGGTGGCTGCACATTCCATTTACTATCAGAACTGGACAGGACCAGCCAGGGCCATGTGCATCCCCCTGCCTGTCTGCACAGGGACCCACCTCCTCCTGGCCAAGTCTGCTTCCTGCCAGGCCAGTGACTCCTTTTTTAGCCACACAATTTCTGAACACAAGGGACCACCATGCCCTAGGAGCAGCTGCAGCCTTTAGATCCCCGGGACTGGCTGTGTCCCCTGACAGAAGCATTACTCCTCCAGGGACCAGGACGTCCAAACCCACGAACCCCAGCGCTGCAGAGTCGAGGAGACTGAGCTCCCAGTGGGTCACTGGGGGATGGTGAATGGGTCACTGTGGCTCCCAGGCCCAGCTTTCTGGACTCCTGTGGCCCACCTCCTTGGACATGTGCTATGGGAAAGTCACATCTTGGAGTGGTATACCTGACCGCCTGGGAAACAATGCTCTGGTTTGTAAGGTGTCACCTGGGAGCCAGTGCTTTGGCTGTGTCTTCAATAAGTTGTCGCTATCAGGCCAACAGCTTCTGGGTGGGGAAGACTAGTGTGACCATTGGCCCTATGGGCAGTTGCACTGTGGAGACAAGACATCCCATGGGCTGGTACTATCCAGCTGGTTACTTACAGTCTTTTGTGATCTTTTTTCTAAGCTGGTTGCTTAGCAGCAGTGCCCCATTTCACCATCTCCCTTGTCCTCTGCATCTTCTCAGCTGTCTGATGCTGCATCCTAAGTGTGTCCGCTTGGGCGAGCCAAACTATAGCACTGCTTCCTGGAGCCTGGGCTCTCTGCCTTGGCCAGCAGGGTGGTGGCAGACCCCTCTGGTCCTGCCACCCCCATCTGAGATTCTGAGAAGCAGGTTAGCAGCAGGATGCCCCAGGAGGCCTAGGACTAGTGTCTGTAAAAGGGCAGGGAGAGGCCAGAATTTTGCCAAGGGGGAGTGCAGTCTCAGTAGGTGGCCCAGTGGTGTGTCTCAGGGGTGTCTACAAGCTGTGGCAGCCCTCAGAATTGCCCCAAGTTGAGCCAAAGGACCAAGCCATGTAGCCACACGTGGTTGTTGTTGACTGCCCTAGGAAGGACATGCCTTTGGGTAAGGCAATTCCTGAAGGGGCTGGTAGCAGCACCATCTACCCTGAGCTGGGCCCTGAGTCCTGCAGCCCTGGAGGAGCATCTGGTCAGTGCCTGTCCACTTTACCAGGTCCATGTAACATCAAAGTTCTGGCTTATTACTGACCATAGGAGCCTCTGCATCATCTTGGCTGTGCTGCCCCCTGGCACAGGGAGGACTCAAGCCCACCTCCCCTGCTGACCCTACCCTGGCACATTATAGATGTGGCGTGGTTGTCGGGAGAGGGAGGGTGGGCTTCTGTTCTTTGTGGAGTGGAGGCACCCTGAGAGGCAGGAATGGGGAGGGCAGGCTGCCAGGTGACACAGAACGCTTGTGAGCTGTGGGGCAGCCTGAGGCAGCGCTACAGAGGACACTGGCCAGTATGAATCATGCTCTTTGTGGGACCAGCTGTGGGGAAAGGGCAGGAGGGACCCTGGTACCTTCCAGGGTTAGGCTCTGCACATTCGCAGAGCACGAGTGGCATGGGGGTGCCCTGTGCTACTACCAGGCAGCCTCTTGTGTCCAAGAGGCAACTAGCCACATGGTTCTGGGACTCTAGGACAGGCTGGGCTTCAGTTGCAGATTTTGGGAGCTGAGGGCAGGCTTGAGGCAGTCTCTAATGGGTGAACAGAGACAGAGCATAATCTCTCATTAGGGAGAGAAGCCTTCATATCCTGTGATGCGGAGGTGGGTGTCTGTCAGGTCTAAAATACTTTTATTGAGTTTGGCAGCCAAGGCTGATAGCTGCTTCAGCAAAAGCTGTGGGATGGGGGAAAGGAATGAACATGGGGTCAGACCCTTCACCGAGACCTTGTGTGGAGGGAGGTGTGGGCGGGTGTAGACAGGCTTCTGAGCAGAGGGGAGGTTCTAGCAGGAATGTGGGTGTGGACCAAGAGGAGGACTAGGGCCCGAGGTCCTGAGAAAACAGGAAACAGACTGGTTCCCAGGTGGGTGGGCATGAGGGATGAGAAGATGTGTCAGTGACCACAGACTGCGGGGCTTAAAACAGTGGAAATATACTCTCAACCCTAGAGACCAGAAGTCTGAGATCAAGGTTTTGGCAAAGCTGTGCTCCCTCCAGAGACTCTAGGGGAAGGTCCTTCCTGCCTCTTCCAGTTTCTGGTGGCTCTAGGCATCTTTGGAATTCCTTGGCTTGTAGACCTATCGCTCTGATCTCTGAATTGCTCCAATCTATGTCATCACATGGCCTCTTTTCCCTGTGTGTCTGTCTTATAAGGACACTAGTTATATTGCATTAGGGCCAACCCTACTCTGGTATGACCTCATCTTAACTTGATTATATCTCCAAAGATTCTCTTTCCAAATAAAGTCACATTCACAGGTATTGTAGGTTAGGTCTTTGACCTGTCTTTTTGGAAGATATAATTCAGCCCAGCACAGAAGGGGACAGACCTGGGTGGAAGTGGTTGACATGCAGATATGATAGGGATTGGAAGTTAGATGCCTGTTGCCACTGCTCAGAGAGCCGGTTGCCCAGCTGTCTGCTGAGAGGGAACAGTGTGTAGAACACTGGGGCTTGGATCTGGGTGACCAGGGACAGGCAGGGGTGGGGGACCCTTGCCTGGTCTGTGCACTGCACTGGGGAGGACTAGCACTTGTCTGCTGAGTCTGTGGCCCCCGGGGCAGGGTATGGGTGCAGAGGGACCATAGCTCAGAGGCCGTGGTGATCAGGTGGGCTAAAGGGCAACATGGGATCCAGGGTAGGCAGAGGAAGATGGACCAGGCTGGAGCAGGAGACCTGGGGAGTCAGAGGGAATGTGTCTTGCTGGAGTCTGGTACGGTGGAGGGGCCTCAGGCTGTAAGGAGAGAGCAGAGGCTGGAGCTCCTAGATTCAGAGGCAGTACTTCCTCTAAGTGGCAATCCCAGTAGGGTAGGAGATTTCAAAGGCACTGGATGAGGCATGGGGTGGAGCGTTTGGGAAATGAAAGGGAGGAGCCCAGGAGTGGGAAGATGCTGTTCGCAGGCTGAGGGCTGGGTTCATGGAACAAGGCTGAGCCCCCTAGGCAAGGGCAGAGATAGGCATGCCCAGAAAGCACATGAGCATATAGTGCCCCAGCTTTCCCTGCATCAGGACTCAGGGAAGGCAGGAGGGTGTTGGGCTGGGGTGGAGGCCAAGGTTAGCCTACAGGGGAAAACAGCCCTTGAGTCCTGAGAGGCTGTCCGGTGGCTGGCCTCCCTTCCCCATCTCATACTGTCCTTTTGCATATCTTCTGAGCTGGGGAGTCCCCTTTACTCCCACTGCAGGGATCCTACTGGGTCACGGGAGGGGCCTCACCTCATTCCCAGAAGGCTGAGGCTGGGCCCTCCATTCCCAGGGGCAGGTTCAGCTCCTCAGGGGATGCTCCAGCCTGGACACATCTGTAGGTGGATGCAGAACTCATCCAGCTCAGGAAGGTCTGGGATTGACCCTGTGACCATGTCTTCCTCTCATGCCCTCCCCACTCCCAGGCTGTTCAAGTTCCCTGACCAAGCCTTTCTGTCCCCTACAGGACATAGGTGGACCTCGGGCGAGCTCTGCACAACCCACTGTGTTTGATGAACGGTCACACCTCTCCTTTTGACGTCCTGATCGCCGACAGCACTGAGCAGGCCAGTGTGCCCAAAACCATGAAGGCCATGCTGGGAACCAGTGCCACCTCTGGGCCCCAGGCTGAGGCAACGCCATCCTCTCAGGCCAGGAGCATAGCTGGGGTGTATGTAGAGACCTCAGGCCAGGCCCAGAGTTTCTACACTGCCATGAAACAGGGTCTCCTGCCTGCGGGGCTGGGGCTGGCTCTATTGGAGGCCCAGGCAGCCACAGGGGGCCTTGTGGATCCTGCCCGGGGCCAGGTGCTCCCTGTGACTGAGGCCCTGCGTCAGGGCCTGGTAGGGCTGGAGCTGAAGGAGAAGCTGCTGGCCGCTGAGCGTGCAGTTACAGGCTACCCTGACCCCTATGGGGGTGAGAAGCTGGCCCTCTTTCAGGCCATCGGGAAGGAGGTTGTGGACAGGGCCCTGGGGCGGAACTGGCTGGAGGCCCAGCTGGCCACTGGCGGCTTGGTGGACCCTGCCCGGGGCATGCGAGTGGCTCCAGAGCCAGCCTGCCAGCAGGGCCTCCTGGATCAGAATACGTGGCACTGCTTATTGGAGCCCAGCATGGGTGTCCCAGGTTTCCTTGACCCCAACACACTGGAGCGGCTGACATACTGTAAGCTGCTGGAAAGGTGTGTGCAGGCCCCCGGCTCAGGGCTGGCCCTGCTGCCTCTCAAGATCACTTTTCGCTCCTTGGGTGGAGCGGTAAGTGCCACTGAACTGCTGGAGGCAGGCATTCTGGACAAGGAGGCTGTGCGGGGCCTGCAGGAGGGCAGGCTGGCTGTGGCAGATGTAAGCATGCAAGCTGAGGTGCGGCGCTACCTAGAGGGTACTGGCAGCATGGCGGGAGTCATCGTGCTGCCTGAAGGCCACAAGAAAAGCTTCTTCCAGGCTGCCACCGAGCACCTGCTTCCAATGGGCACTGTACTTCCGCTTCTGGAGGCTCAGGCTGCCACTCATACTCTGGTGGATCCTGCCACAGGCCGGCAGCTGTGGGTGGACGAGGCAGTCAGGGCAGGCCTGGTTGGCCCAGAGCTTCACGAGCAGCTGCTTGTCGCCGAGCAGGCTGTGACAGGATATCATGACCCCTTCAGTGGCTCCCGAGTCCCCCTCTTCCAGGCCATGAAGAAGCAGCTGGTGGACAGGCCACTGGCACTGCGGCTCCTGGATGCTCAGCTGGCCACAGGTGGGCTGGTCTGTCCAGCCCGCAGGCTCCGACTGCCCCTGGAGGCTGCCCTGCGCTGCAGCTGCCTGGATGAAGACACTCAACAGGAGCTCTCCCAGCTTGCCAGTTTCTCAGACCCTAGCACACATGGCAGCCTGCACTATGAACAGCTGCTGGCCCGCTGTATCACCGACCCAGAGACGGGGCTTGCCTTCCTGCCCCTCTCAGTGGGGCCTAGTGGAGAGGAGCCCCAGAGACTCCCTTTTATTGAGTACCACACTCGGCAGGCCCTGAATGCAACTACAACCACTGTCACTGTAGGGAAATTCCAGGGCCGGCCCACATCCCTCTGGGAGCTGCTCTTCTCTGAGGCCATCCCAGTGGAGCAGAGGGCAACGCTGGTCCAGCAGTACCAGGAAGGGACCCTCTCAGCAGAGGAGCTGACTTCCAAGCTGACCACCATCACAGAGAAGGCTGCAGCCACTGCCAAGGTCACCTTCTCTGGGTTGAGGGACACTGTAACACCAGGAGAGCTGCTGAAAGCTGAGATCATCAACCAGGACCTGTATGAGCAGCTGGAACGTGGGCAGGCCACAGCCCAGGATGTGGGAAGACTGGACTCAGTGCAGAGATACCTTCAGGGCACGGGCTGCATTGCAGGTCTGCTGCTGCCCAGCTCTCAGGAGCGGCTCAGCATCTATGAGGCCCGCAGCAAGGGGCTGCTCCGGCCTGGCACCGCCCTCATCCTCCTTGAAGCGCAAGCTGCCACAGGCTTCATCATTGACCCAAAAGAAAACAAGAGGCACTCTGTTGAGGAGGCACTGAGGGCCGGTGTCATTGGGCCTGACATGTATGCAAAGCTGCTGTCAGCTGAACGCGCTGTCACCGGTTACACTGACCCCTATACCGGAGAGCAGATCTCCCTCTTCCAGGCCATGCAGAAGGACCTCATTGTCCGGGACCACGGCATCCGTCTGCTGGAGGCTCAGATTGCCACGGGTGGCATCATCGATCCTGTGCACAGTCACCGTGTGCCCGTGGATGTGGCCTACCAGCGTGGCTACTTCGACCAGATGCTGAACTTGATCCTGCTGGACCCCTCTGATGACACCAAGGGCTTCTTCGACCCCAACACACATGAGAATCTCACCTACCTGCAGCTGCTGGAGCGCTGTGTGTGCGACCCTGAAACAGGCCTATACCTCCTGCCACTCAGCAGCACGCGGCCCCAGCTGGTGGATGGCACTACACGTCAGGCCTTCCAGAACTTGCTGCTGTCCGTGAAGTACGGACGGTTCCAGGGGCAGAGGGTATCTGCCTGGAAGCTGATCAACTCAGAATACTTCAATGAGAATCGCAGGAGGCAGCTACTGCGGCGCTACCAGCTGCGCAAGGTCACACTGGAGCAGGTGATGCAGCTGCTGGAAGCAGAGATGAGGAGGTGGGCAGATGTCACTTTTCCTACACTGCAGGGCCGGGTCACTGCCTACCAGCTGCTGGAGGCCCACATCATCGATCAGCAGCTCTTGGATCAAGTGCTGGAGGGGATAGTCAGCTCTGAGACCCTTCTTCGCATGGACAGTGTTCATAGGTACCTGCGTGGCTCGGGCACCGTGGGTAGTGTGCGGTTGCCACTCTCTGACCAGCAGCTTAGCCTCTACCAGGCCATGAAGCAGAAGCTACTGGGGCCCAGTGTGGCCCTGGCCCTGCTAGAGGCTCAGGTAGCCACTGGAACCATCATGGACCCTCACAGCCTGGAAAGCCTCTCAGTGGATGAGGCTGTGCGCAGGGGTGTGGTGGGGCCAGAACTGTATGGCAGACTGAAGTGGGTAGAGGGCGCCGTTATTGGCTTCAGAGACCCCTTTTCTGGGAAGCGGGTATCCCTGTTCCAGGCCATGAAGAAGGGCCTTATCCCTTCAGAGCAAGCTGCCCGCCTCCTGGAGGCTCAGGTGGCCACGGGAGGGGTCATTGACCCCATGGACCACTACCACCTTCCCATGCCAGTGGCTATCCAGCGTGGCTACATTGACCAAGAAATGGAGACAGCCTTGTCCGGCTCCTCTGAGACCTTCCCCACCCTGGATGGCCGGGGACACACCAGCTATGCCCAGCTTCTAGAGCAGTGTCCCAGGGACAAGGCCTCTGGCCTTCGCCTCCTGCCCCTGCCAGAAAATGCTCCTATCATCCTCACTAACGAGCAAGTCCAGGAGACCCTGCAGGCCACACCGGGAGGTGAAGATGGCACATCCCTCTGGGACCTGCTCAGCTCCTACCACTTCACTGAGGAGCAGCGGAGGGGCTTTCTGGAGGATGTCCGGGAGGGGAGGACTACTGTACCACAGCTGCATGCAGCCCTGTGGAGGTGTGTGAAGGAGGCCGAGCTCCTGGCCCAGGCCCGCATCACAGTTGCTGGCCCGCGGGGTGATATCCCCGCTGTCTGGCTGCTGGACAATGACATTATCACCCAGGACACCCTAGAGGCCCTGACTCAGGGCACACTGTCACCCGCCAAGGTGGCTGAGCAGCCGGCGGTGAAGGCCTGCCTGTGGGGCACAGGCTGTGTGGCTGGTGTACTGCTGCAGCCCTCCGGAGTCAAGGCCAGCATCACTCAGGCCATGAGAGACGGCCTCCTTCCTGTGGGCCTGGGCCAAAGGCTGCTGGAGGCCCAGGTGGCATCCGGCTCCCTTGTTGACCCTCTGACAAACCAGAGACTGACAGTGCAAGACGCAATCAAGTCAGGCCTGGTGGGCAAGGAACTGAGTGAGCGTCTCAGGCAGGCTGAGAGGGCTGTGGCTGGGTACACAGACCCCTACTCAGGGGGTTCCCTCTCACTGTGGCAGGCTATGGAGAAGGGGCTTGTGCCCCAGAGTGAGGGCTTCCCCCTTCTGCAGGTGCAGCTGGCCACAGGGGGCATGGTAGACCCTGTCCATGGGGTACACCTGCCCCAGACAGTGGCCTGTAGGCTTGGCCTCTTGGACACACAGACGAGCCAGGTGCTGACCACAATGGACGAAGACAACAAGTTCTTCTTCGATCCCAGCACACGGAACAAGGTGACCTACCAGCAGCTCAAGGAGCTTTGTGTGCAGGATGCTGAGACGGGCCTGTGGCTCCTGCCCCTCCCCCAAGATATGGAGCTAGAGGTGGATGAACATACCACAGTGGCACTGAGGGCCATGAAGGTACCCATCAGCACAGGGAGATTTCAAGGATGCAGTGTGTCACTCTGGGACCTGCTGCGTTCTGAGTATGTTAGTGCCGACAAGCGGCAGGAGCTGGCGGCGCTCTGTCGGTCTGGGAGGGCTGCAGCCCTGCGGCAGGTGGTCAGTGCAGTCACTACCCTGGTGGAGGCCATGGAGAAACAGCCCCCACAGGCTACCTTCAGAGGGCTCCGGAAGCAAGTGTCGGCCAGGGACCTGTTCAGGTCCCAGCTTATCAGCAAGAAGACTCTGGATGAGCTGAACCAGGGGAAGAAGACTGTGCAGGAGGTGACGAAGATGGAAAGCGTGAGACGGTCCCTGGAAGGAGGCAATTTCATTGCTGGGGTCCTCATCCAGGGCACCCAGGAGAGGATGAGCATCCCAGAGGCCCTGAGGAGGCACATCCTGCGTCCTGGCACAGCACTGGTGCTGCTGGAGGCACAGGCAGCCACTGGCTTCATCATTGACCCAGTAGAGAACCAGAAGCTGACTGTGGAGGAAGCATTTGAGGCAGGGATGTTTGGCAGAGAAACCTACATGAAACTGCTATCAGCTGAGCGTGCCGTCACCGGCTACACTGACCCCTACACTGGGGAACAGATCTCTCTCTTCCAGGCCATGCAGAAGGAGCTCATTGTCCGAGACCATGGCATCCGCCTGCTGGAGGCCCAGATTGCCACCGGTGGCATCATTGACCCTGTACACAGTTACCGTCTGCCCGTAGATGTGGCCTACCAGTGTGGCTTCTTTGACGAGGAGATGAACCGCATCCTGGCGGACCCAAGTGATGATACCAAGGGCTTCTTCGACCCCAACACACATGAGAACCTCACTTACCTGCAGCTGCTGGAGCGCTGTGTGGAGGACCCTGAGACAGGCCTGTACATGCTACAAATCATAAAGAAAGGAGAAACCTATATGTATATTGATGAAGCCACAAGGCAAGTTCTACAATCCAGAACCACAAAAATGCATGTGGGGTGGTTTGCCAACCAGATGGTCTCATTCTGGGACTTACTGTCCTCTCCATACTTTACAGAGGACAGGAAGCGGGAGCTCATCCAGGAGTACAAAGCCCAGGGTGGGGGCCTAGAGAAATTGCTGGAGATCATCACCACAACAATCGAGGAAACAGAAAAGCAAAACCAAGTTATCAAGGTGGCAGCCATCAGAGGCGAGGTGACAGCTGCAGAGCTATTCAACTCTGGGATCATTGATAAAAAAACCCTGGATACACTTCACAGGGGGAAGAGTGGAGGCCAGGACCTCAGCAAACTGGAGCATGTGAAGGCCTACCTGGAAGGGAGCGGCTGCATTGCTGGGGTGACCATAGCTTCCACCCAGGAGGTCATAAGCTTCTATGAGGCCTGCAGAAAAGATCTTATCCCTGCAGGGTTTGCAGCTCGTCTACTGGAGGCACAGGCTGCCACTGGGTTCTTGCTAGACCCACACAGCCATAAGAGGCTCTCTGTGGATGAGGCCGTGGCTGGTGGCCTGGTGGGTGAGGAACTTCAGGAAAGACTGTTAAATGCTGAGAAGGCTGCCACAGGCTACAGGGACCCAGCCACAGGAGATCTGATCTCACTGTTCCAGGCCATGCAAAAGAAGCTAGTTGAGAGGGAGGAAGCGCTGAGGCTGCTGGAGGTGCAGATGGCAACAGGAGGTATCATTGACCCACAGCACCACCACCGACTCCCACTAGAAACAACCTACAAACGTGGCTGTCTGCACAAGGACATATATGCGCTTGTTTCTGATCAGAAGCACATGAAGAAAAGGTTTGTGGACCCAAACACCCAGGAGAAGGTCACATACCAGGAGTTGCAGGAGAGGTGCCGGAGGCAGGAAAAGACTGGCTGGGCTCTGTTCCTTTTGGCCCAGGATGCACAGGACTCGAAGTACATCGACAAGGCAACCAGAAGGGCCCTAGAGGCAGAGCAGGTGGAAATAATGGTGGGAAGATTCAGAGGCCAGAGACCTACAGTGTGGGAGCTGCTAAACTCAGAATATGTGACAGAGGAAAAAAAACTAGAACTGGTAAGGATGTACAAAAGTGATACAAGCCGAGCACTAGAGAAGGTTGTGCAAATTCTTTTAGACATCATTGAAGAGCAGGAAAAGAAGATGAGACGCCTATGGTTTCGGGGAATTAGAAGACAAATCACAGCCTCTGAGCTCCGGAGCTCAGACATCATCACGACAGAAATGCTGAAAGACTTGGAAACAGGAAGAAGCACAGTGCAACAGCTCAAAGAAGATGAACAAGTAAAACGCTACCTGGAGGGTACTGGCTGCATCACGGGCGTCCTGGTGCCCGCCAAGGATGAGCCCGGGCGCCAGGAGAAGATGAGCATCTACCAGGCCATGTGGAAGGGCGTGCTGCGGCCCGGCACGGCCCTGGTACTGCTGGAGGCACAGGCGGCCACGGGCTTCGTCATCGACCCGGTGCGCAACCTGAGGCTGTCGGTGGAGGAGGCTGTGGCCGCAGGCGTGGTGGGCGGCGAGATCCAGGAGAAGCTGCTGTCGGCCGAGCGCGCCGTCACCGGTTACACCGACCCCTACTCCGGGGAGCAGATCTCCCTCTTCCAGGCCATGCAGAGGGACCTCATCGTCCGGGACCACGGCATCCGCCTGCTGGAGGCCCAGATCGCCACGGGCGGCGTCATCGACCCCGTGCACAGCCACCGCGTGCCCGTGGACGTGGCCTACCAGCGTGGCTACTTTGATGAGGAGATGAACCGCATCCTGGCCGACCCGAGCGATGACACCAAGGGCTTCTTCGACCCCAACACGCACGAGAACCTCACCTACGTGCAGCTGCTGCGCCGTTGCGTGCGTGACCCGGACACGGGGCTGTTTATGCTGCAGCTGGCAGGCCGGGGCTCTGTCGTGCACCAGCTGAGTGAGGAGCTGCGCCGTGCCTTGCGCGATGCCCGCGTGCTACTGGGCTCCAGTGCCCTCCAGGGCCAAAGCGTCTCAGTGTGGGAGCTCCTCTTCTACCGCGAGGTGTCCGAGAGCCTGCGCCAAGACCTGCTGCGCAGATACCAGGAAGGGACGCTGACCGTGCAGGAGCTGGGCGCCACCCTCACCTCGCTGCTTTCCCAGGCCGGGGACGGGAGCCCGCGCCCGGACCCTCGGGAGGCCCTGCGTGCGACCACCATGGAGGTCAAGGTGGGCCGCCTCCAGGGGCGTGCGGTGTCCGTGTGGGACGTGCTGGCATCCAGCTATGTGAGCGGGGTCACCCGGGAGGAGCTGCTGGCCCAGTTCAGCTCAGGGACGCTGACTTTGCCCATGCTGACCCAACGGCTGACCACCATCATCGAGGAGGCCGAGGACTCCTTGCGCAGCTCACGGGCACCAGGGACACCTGGGAACGGGGATGGCAGCCCTGGGCCAACCCCAGATGGGGCCGAGGTCACCGCCCGCCGCCAGGAGCAGGCCCTGCGTGCTGCCACCATGGAGGTGCAGGCCGGGCATTTCCGGGGACAGCCCGTCTCAGTGTGGGACGTCCTCTTCTCCTCGTACTTGCGCGAGGTTCACCGCAATGAGCTCCTAGCACAGCACGCGGCTGGTTCCCTGGGGCTGCCCGACCTCATCGCTGTCCTCACCCGGCTTGTCGAGGAGACCGAGGAGCGGCTCAGCAAGGTGTCCTTCCGCGGCCTGAGGCGCCAGGTGTCCGCCACCGAGCTGCGCACATCTGGGATCCTGGGCTCCGAGACCCTACGGGACCTGGCCGAGGGCACGAAGACGCTGCAGGAGGTGACGGAGATGGACTCGGTCAAGCGCTACCTGGAGGGCACCAGCTGCATCGCGGGTGTCCTGGTGCCCGCCAAGGACGAGCCCGGGCGCCAGGAGAAGATGAGCATCTACCAGGCCATGTGGAAGGGCGTGCTGCGGCCCGGCACGGCCCTGGTGCTGCTGGAGGCGCAGGCGGCCACGGGCTTCGTCATCGACCCGGTGCGCAACCTGAGGCTGTCGGTGGAGGAGGCCGTGGCCGCGGGCGTGGTGGGCGGCGAGATCCAGGAGAAGCTGCTGTCGGCCGAGCGCGCTGTCACCGGCTACACCGACCCCTACTCCGGGGAGCAGATCTCCCTCTTCCAGGCCATGCAGAGGGACCTCATCGTCCGGGACCACGGCATCCGCCTGCTGGAGGCCCAGATCGCCACGGGCGGCGTCATCGACCCCGTGCACAGCCACCGCGTTCCCGTGAATGTGGCCTATCAGCGCGGCTACTTCGACGAGGAGATGAACCGCATCCTGGCCGACCCGAGCGACGACACCAAGGGCTTTTTCGACCCCAACACTCATGAGAACCTCACCTATATGCAGCTTTTGCAACGAGCCTCATTAGATTCTGAGACTGGATTTTTATTTCTCTCCCTTTCTGGGAGATGAATGGTCTTTTTTGTGGTGGTTTTACAGCCTCTGTAAAATACAGTGGTTTGTTTTCTTTTCCTTTTTTTTGACTGTTCATTAGTTTATTGTTTTACTTATCAGTTATTAATATCCATTGTCTTTAAATTAATGTTCCATTTTTTCTGTTCTGTTCACAGTTTTCACCATTTCTTTGTTTTTTGTCCCACAATACACTTCCTTTTCCTTCTTTCTTTTTTTTGTAATTCTTTTTGAGGATACTTTAGTTGTTCTCTCTTTTTTTTTCATCACTGTTGTACTTGCACATGTTTTATGGTGTTCTCACATGCTCAAACCTTCAGTGATGTCTGAGTATTCCTTTCACAATATATTTTACAGCTGTCATCCAGTTTTTACAACTTGCTTAGATAAATACCGTACAACAATTAATAAAGGATAGAATCGGGTATGCAAAGTCAGAGCTCCCAGCCTTGACTTGGAAGTCAGATTGCTATGTCCCAGGCATAACCTTGAAAACAAGTGGAGGAGAGAGACAGGCAGGGCACTTTCAACCACATTCATTCTCCTGCTCTTGAGCAAGTCCTGCATGTATGCCAGGCACATTCGTTACACAAGGTAGCACTGTGAACTTCACAGCAATGCTAAGGCAGGAATTACCACATTGGATTAGTATTTACAGGGTTTATCTCTTTCCATTCTTTTATTTCTAAGTTATCTATGTCATTTTATTTAAGGTGAGTTTCTTGTAGATAGCATATTGAAGGGTGAGGCTATCTTCATGCAATTTTGCAATTTGTGTTTTAGTTGGTACATTTACATGATTACATGTCATATAAGTATTTACATACTTGGATTTATTTGTTTTCCTTTCCTCTGTTTTTATTTGTTGTTGTTGTTCATTTGCTCTCCCTTTCCTGTCTTCTCTTGGATTACGGGAATATTTTTAGTATTTCATTTAAATTTATTGTTCTTTTGTCCATTCCAAGTTTTTATCAGTTGCTTTGGTGATTGTAATATACATGTAACTTTTCACAGCCTTCTTAGAGTCACTGTTTCACCACTTCATGTGAGATGAAGAGATATTTTACCCACATGGGTCCCTTTCTCCACCCCCTCCCAAGTATACTGTCTTTGTTATATTATGACATCTGCATTCATTGAAAATCCTACCAGGCAATGTAATTTTGCTTTCAGCAGTCAGATATTTTAAGTGATTCAAAAAGAGAACAATGCTATATTATACTTCTTTACATATTTACCATTTCTAGAGCTTTTTCTGTATTCCTGAAGTTCCAGTTTGCTTCTCATGTCATTTCCCTTCAGTCTAAAGACCTTGCTTTAGCGTTTTCTTTTGAGTAAGTCTGCTGATGAGGAATTTTATATATATAAACATATCACATCTTTAGTTTTCAAAAGTAGTTGGATTACGATGTTTCTGGGCATGGTTTCCTTTGAATTTATCCTGTCTGGAATTTGCCAAACTTCTTGATACCATAAATTTATCTTTCATTGAATTTAAGAACCTCTCAGCCATTATTTTTTCAAAAAATGTGTTTTGTTTTGTTTAAAGACAGGTGGGGTCTCGCTTTGTTGCCCAGGCTGGTCTCAGGCTCCTTGCCTCAAGCAATCCTTTGGCCTCAGCCTCCCAAATTGTTGGGATTTACAGGCATGAGTCCAGGCCAAAAAAATGTTTTTGGTACCAATATCTTTCTCCTCTCTTTTTGGATGTTTGGTATTGTTCCACAGGTCTCTGAAACTTTATTTAAAAAAAATTTTTTTTCTCCTGTTTTTCAGATTGGATAATTTTTATTAATCTCTTTTCAAGTTTATGAACTCTTTCCTCTGTAATCTCCATTTTGCTATTGAGACACTGAGTGAATTTTTTATTTCAGGTAATATGTTTTTCACTTCTAACATTCCCATGCAATTCTGCATATTTTCTTTTTTTTTTTTTTTTTTTAGTTGGAGTTTCACTCTGTCGCCCAGACTGGAGTGCAGTAGCATGCTCCCGGCCACCGCAGCCTCGACCTGCTGGGTTCTGGCGATCCTTGCGCCTCAGCCTTCCAAGCAGCTGGAACTACAGGCGCGCGCTGCCACACCCGGCTAATTTTTTGATTTATTGTCGAGATGAGGTCTCACCAAGTTGCCCAGGCGGGTCTCGAACCCGCGGGCTCAGGCAATCCACTCACCTCAGCCTCCCAAGGCATGGGATTCCAGGCTGAGCCACCGAGCCTGACTGTCTTTCCTTTCATTTTTAGAGTGTTCACTTTTACCTCATGGAGCATTGTTAGAATAGCTGCTTTAAAGTCTTTTTCGGATCATTACAGCATCTGAGTTATTGAGACATTGCCATCTGTTGATTGTCTTTTCCTTTGAGACTTGATTTGATTTTTAGTTCTTGGAATGCTGAGTATTTTGGGGTTGTATCTTGAATACTTTAAGTAATCATATGTGAGGCTCTGGGCCCTCTATTAGAACCCTCTTAAGAATGTTAACCTTTTTGTTTTGACTGGCATTTATCCTTGTTGGTTCAGATCATGAGCTGTGTCCCACCCTCTGTGAGCTGTGGACTGTGTCAGCTCCATTCTCAAAGCTTTTGTGTGCTGAATGGGTTTTTTCCACACTTGTACTGCTCAGCTTGGAAGTAAACCGAGATTTGTGTTGTTTCATACGCAGGATGGAAGACCCTCCTCCAGCTCTCTGCTCTCCGGGAATCCCCTACTCACTATGGCTCCCATAAGCCCCTTTTGCTAGTCCTCCATTTAGAAAGCCAGGGTCTTTCTCAGAGTTTGAGTTCCCTGTGCTGCCATGTAATTTCACACAACAAGGACCTGACTCAGGGCAATGTAGCAAGAGAAAAGGGAAGAAAAAAAAATAAGAGAAGGATCTTACATACACATGCTTGGGACCACAGAGTCCCTGTGCCCAGCTCATCTGTCTATAAATGCAGGGTCTCTTGCAGGATCTTAGGTACCATTATGCTACTAGCACTGCTACCACAAGGCAGGTCCAGGACAGGGTTGGGAGGGAAATGGGGTTTTTTCGTACACATTGCAGCTTGCAAGGGAGAAAGAGCAGGTTTCTCAAGGTTTTTGTGAAACTCAATTCATCCTCATTTTAGAACCGTAGGTACAGCAGGAAAGAAGGAAAAAAAAGAAAAAACTATCACATAAACTTCACTGTACCAGTTATCCTTCAAGTTCTGACTTTCTTCCCATACCCAGTTACTATGGTGAGCTTTTCCGAATCCTCCAGGAGTAGCTGTTTGTATTCTGTCCAGAGTTTTTAGCTGTAACTAAAGGGAGAGATGAATGTACTACATCTTGGCCAGCCTCAGAAGTTTCAGGAAACACTATTCTGATTTTACAGGTGAAGAACCTGAGTCCTGGTGAAGTTAACATGCCCAGGACCCCCGTGATGGGGTGGGAGCTCACGAGCACCCAATTCCAAACTGAATCCTCACCCACCATGCTTGTGCCAGTCTCTGGGATAATGAGGCCTGCTGCACACTGTTGGGGGAGAAGCTCGTTTCGTAGCCCTGGTGAAGGGGAAGTTTGGGACAACCTGGCCACCCACGCTCACAGTCCCCTCCAGCTGTGCTAGAGTGACATCTTGATAAACAATGGCTGGCCAAAGGCCAGGAAGTTGTCTGAGGTGGCCTGGAGTGCTCGACCAGGAGCACTCAATGCGTGGCAGGTCCTTGCTGTAAGTCTGGAGTGGGAAGTAGAGAAAGTGCCAGACAGTGAGGCAAAGAGAGCTGAAAGTGAGAGGAAGGACCACAGACAGGCCTTTGCGCAGAGAGCAGGACTGCTGAGGGGCACAGGACCAGGTCGCAGGGCCCTTGCCAACCAGAGTGTGACCCAACACAGGGAGTGACTCCAGGGACTTTCCTCAGTCATCATGCTCTTGCTACTCACTGTCTCGAGTTTACAGCCAAAACAGATTTGGAGCCCCCCCGTCAGGATCCCTTGGCAAAATCTCTCTCCAATCTCTATGTACCTGAACTCAAAAATCAAAGAATGTTCATACGAAGGGCCGGATTGCAGGCTCTAGGATCAAACCCCTGCCTTCAGATGCTAATGCTGCTCCTTCATAATTGTATGCCGGGTGCCTTGGCTCAAACCTGTAATCCCAGCATTTTGGGAGGCAGACGCAAGAGGATTGCCTGAGCTCAGGGGTTCAAGACCAGCCTGGGCAACTTGGCGATGCCTTGTCTCTACAATAAATCAAAAAATTAGCCTGGTGTGGGGGTGCACAGCTGTGGTTCCAGCTACTTGGAAGGCTGAAGCGGAAGGATTGCCTGAGCCCAGCATGTTGAGGCTGCAGTGACCTTGAGCATGCCACTGCACTCCAACCTGGGCGACAGAGTGCGACTCCAACAAGAAGGAAGGAAGGAAGGAAGGAAGGAAGGAAAGAAAGAAGGAAGGAAGGAAGGAAGGAAGGAAGGAAGGAAGAAAGGAAGAATCCAAAAAGAAAAAAACTAGTTAATATTCAGATTTTTATATTCAAAGTAGATTTTGCAGCAAGACAGTAAGCTTGGAAGGCAGGTTTATAATGGGGCTTGTGATGGCTCCTTTGGCTTCCTTTAGGCCAGGTGTGATTCCTCCCCAGGACCTTCATGTGCATTAGCCCCTTTACTCATTTTATCCCAGGGGACAGTGAGAGGAAAGGCAGAGATTGAGGAGGTCAGATACCTGGGTTTACCTCTCCATGACTCCAGTCCAGGGCTGGTAGGGGCTGTTTTGAATATACTCCAACAGGTTGGGGAACCTCAAGGGCAGGGCACACCCATGCCAATAGGAGGGGCTCATGTGGTTTAGAGAGAGGAGCAGCACTGCTGGACTGTGTTGACCCCTTATGCTTCCCAGGTAATACAGAGGCTGAGGTATGAGCTGACACACCTGTTACAGCGCCCACAGTGGGGACTGGTGGCCTCATAGCAGACATGTGAGTGACAGCACACTCTAGGGCAGCAACTCAGAGTCAGGAAGCACCTTGGGTTGTATCCAGTCCAGGGAACT